TGACTTCTTGTGTTACAATGGAGATCTCAGAAGTCTTCAGCTTGTGAGACCTGAGCTTTAACTGTGGCAGGTTATGGGTGTTCTCTGAACCCAAAGTGCACCTCCATTGCCAAGGCATGGAAGACAGTAGTTTGCAGAGGGGCTCTGGTGACTTGCTGAAGAAAAATCTATGTAAGGACTGTTAAGTGATTGTAGCCTTTGTACAGGCATTCAGGCCTGTGCTGTTCACTTTGCTGTGGGGCCACAGCTTGGTTTGCTTTGTCAGTAATAAGAAGTTTCAGTGCAAAACTTCTCTGTGTTTTTCCCTCTTTAAGGCAAAGTTCTGGGCAACCTGCAGCTTAACCTGCTTAGCAAATCCAAGGTTTATGAAGACCCAGCTTTGAGTGCCATTTTTCTGCATAACAACTACAACTACATTCTGAAATCTCTGGAGAAGTAAGTGTGTGTCTTGAGTGAATCTCCCTCAAGTCCAAGGCTGACTGGATGGTTTTGGAGCAGAGCTCTGCATTGAGAGCATTTACTTGCTAGTTTGTCTCATACCTGCTTTTTCTTCCATCCTTGAAACTGCCTCTTGCAAGGTTTTGCAGTATTATAAACATCACATTACCTGAGAGTGGAAGATAAAAGCATTAGAAAATGCCTTAGGTTTTAAAGAATCCTTTGATCTCAGGAGGATTGAGGATGTGGCTTTGGAAAGTAACTCAGAGTTGCTTCTGTCTCCCAGTTTGCACGTTTCAAGGAGCATTTTGTTCCTTGTGAAAGGCTGAGAGGAACTTTGAAATTCTGCCATCCTGAGAGCAGCCTGGAGAGCAGCTGGCTCAGGTGCTTCCTCAGGTTTCCTGTCCTTCCAGGTCTGAGCTGATCCAGCTGGTGGCTGTGACACAGAAGACGGCTGAGAGGTCCTACCGGGAGCTCATTGAGCAGCAGATCCAGACCTACCAGCGTAGGTCAGTGACATCCTCTGCCTCTCCCTTGCTTTTGTCACCCTGGGAGCTCTTTGGGAGCCAGTGCTGCTGGAGCAGTGGGAGAGATTCACCTAAACCAGAAGTTTGTCTAAAACCAAAGCAGAGTATATTTTTGTTTCCAAGTAATTCATCCAACTTGGGAAGGGATCACTGTGGGAAGTTTTGCGGTGTGTGTTGTCTGAGTTGGCCTTTGGGTGATGACAGAGGTGCTCTGGTAAAGGTGTGAGTAACTCTTTGCTTCTCTCCTATCTCATTGCATATGCAGCTGGTTGAAGGTGACAGATTACATCTTGGAGAGAAACCTGCCTGTCTTTCAACCAGGAGTGAAGGTGAGAGGATTGGCAAAGATGGGCTTGACATGACAGAAGTTGCCAGAAACATCATCTCCTTTGTCATAAAAAATTCTCAAAAACCTTCTTTCTGTTTCATGCCAGTATCACTCTGCAGAGTGAACACTGACTGGCACAAGTGGACAGCAGCAGTGCCTTCTGATCTGCCCTGCCCTGGATTCATCCAAGTCTTTTAATCTTTGCCTCCATTCTAACATCTTCACCTGAGCAGATGCCTCTGTTCTGGATTTTCAAAACCCTGAGACCTTTCCTTTCCCTTGGAAAGGGCTGGAAGCATGAAGAAGTCTATTTTATGTCAATTATCCTTGTTAAACCTACTTCAGCTGAATGTAGGGTGTGCTGCTCTTTGCATCTCTCTCCTCACTGCTGTAGGAGAGGGAATCCAAACCAAATACTGGATATTACTGAGGTTGGATGGGGAGTTAGGGGCAAAGATTGGTGTTGGGTAGTATTTATTTCTGGAGATAAAATAAGATCCTTTCCCTCCTTGTTGCAGCTCAAGGACAAGGAGAGGCAGATGATAAAGGAGCGCTTTAAGGTAAGGAGGTGTGGGATGGAGTCAGGACATCCCCTGCTTGATTGGGACTCACAGATCTGCCTGCGGAGGAGACCTCTTGGTGATCAGCAGGGGAGGGAAAGAGCATCAGACTCAGTGTGGAGATTGCAGATGGGATGCTGACTGAGTTTCTCTTTGGACAGGGTTTCAATGACGGGCTGGAGGAGCTGTGTAAGATCCAGAAAGCCTGGGCAATCCCAGACATGGAGCAACGGGACAAAATCTGCCGGGCACAGAAAACTATTGTGAAAGAGACCTATGGTGCCTTCTTGAACAGGTGAGACCTCCTGCAGCACTGTCCTCTCCTCTTTGGGTTTACTGAGATCTTTGGGGCCTTGCATAGCCTGAGCAAGCCACTTTTCTATTGTCCTGTCTTAGCTTCTCTACTTTGCACACTCAGACATGCCCAAGCAGACCTTGAGTATTTGTAGACATCTGCTGTCACCCTGATTCCTTGGTCAGTAAGCACAGAGCCCTGAGCAACCCTGGGCTGTTGATGTAAAACCTGTGAGGCCAGTTGTAACCAGGTCACTTGCTCTATACAGGATATTCTGTCACATTCAAGAGGGGTGTGCTGGAGTGGAGCTGATTTGTGACAGAGGAGGAGCCAGTGGATCTCTTTGCTGTGTTCCAGTTGTTTGTCACCTCTTTTCTTTTGCAGATATGGCAACGTGCCCTTTACCAAGAACCCTGAGAAATACATCAAATACCAGGTGGACCAGGTGGGGGAGATGATTGAGAAGCTGTTTGACACATCAGCATAAATTTCCAGCTGTTGTGAACTCTCCGGCTGCCAAGTACAAGCCAGTGCTCTCTCAGCAACCCTTGGGACTCCCTTCCCTTCTCCCCTGCCCCATTGTGGTGGGCAGGGTGTTATACTTGTATTTATCAGATTTATAAACCTGTGGAAACACTAAGTCCTGACTGTCTTTGCTCTGCATCCATGGGATAAAGCAAAGTCTACCCTGTGGGCTCCTGTATGGGCACATCCACCTCACCTGGGTTTGTGTTAATGCCTTAATGTGCAGCAGACATGAGGAGTGTGTTTAAAAACAAAAGGAAAGAAAAATACACAAAAAAACAAAAAAACCCAAAAAAAACCCTGTATAGGTGTAGCACCCTTCTGTTAAGGGCAGGAGGCTGTTTGCTCCAAATGGTGCCACCTGCTTCCCTGATGGGTTTTGGGGAATCTCAGTTCTGTAGGATCCCAAATTATTTTCACATTGTTAATCTCAACTGTTACTTCATTCAGTGGTAGGGCTCAATGCTGATTCTGGGGGTTTGGGGGTGCCTGGCAGGGCTGCAGTCCAGTCACCTACAAGGGTGTTTCACCCCAAACCCAGACCTGTGTCAGTGCTCTGTTCCATGTGAGGGTGATGGCAGGGCCTGGACCTGTGACAGAGCAGTGGAAGCAGAGGGAGCTCCATGGTGGCCTGGCTGTGTGCTGCTCTTTATTGATCTGAAGCAGAGCAAATGTTCCCATAGCGATTTCCACTCAATGCCTTCCTCCCACCCCTGTTTTTCTTTGTCTCCTGTCTTCCTAAATCTGATGCATCTCTTCCCTGCAAGCAGCCAAGCCCATTTGCTTTGTTAAACCCATGGGCATCACATGAAGAGCAAGTGCTGCTCTCCCATGTGCCTTGGAGCAATGCTGGCAGGCTTTGATACAGACTCTGACACTTTGCACCAAGGGTTTTTGGAGCATTAGAGCACCTGTGTTTTATCTGTGGTCTCTGGCCAGGCATTTCCTGCTCCACTCTCCCTCTCTCCTGCTGCCTGCTCCATTGTTTGCCTGTAACAATTGAAATACAGGGTTTCCATAGAGCGAGGAGCACTCACAGTAGCTGCTGCTTTGCAGTTTGGAGTAAATCCATCCTTTACCTGTGCAGTGTTTACAGCAGTGTTTGCTGGTGTCTGATTAGCCTAGCAGTGGAAGAGCTGTTGGATGTTAGAACCTGGATGTGGCTGTGTCTCCTCAGGCATTACTCAGGTACAGCTCCTGCCCTTTCTGAACCCCTGACCTTCTCTTCCTCAGCCTGGTGTAGCAAATGCCTGAAAAACAGCAGTTTTGACAGGCTCATCCAGCCCAGAGCTGGACCACAGTGTGAGTTCAAGTCTTGACCACTGCACCTGACTGTTTTTATGTGTCTGACCGTGCAGGCTCACAGTGCCAACACAAGGGCCCTCCCTGCAGAAACCTTCCTCCTGCTGTCAAATCTCAAATGTCTGTGGAAACCTGAAATCTTGTACTTGCTGTTTCTAACCTCTGCCAGATTCAAGAGCCTCTGGAGGCCAGCAGGCGCCAGACAGTGTTTTATACATAAGCAGAGCTCTGCTGACTTGTGTTTCATGCAGTGTTGAGTCTGCTGGATACACACCCTGACATTGACCAGAAGGAGCTGGATTCCATCTTTCTCGATCTGTTTCTGACACCGCAGCAGTCTGATATGAATTTCTTTCTTGAGGAGAGTGCATGGAATTCATGCTGAGCTGTAAAACATGTTTTATTGCAGCTGATCCCAGCGTGAGGCAATTCACCCTGAACAGTTACAGGGAAAGCCAGAAGATGGGAGGGGGAGCTTTGCCTGCAGCTTTACTGGAGCACCTGAGCTTTAGTGTGCAGGAGCTGAAATCTTCCCTGACCTGATGATTTGGTGCCAACCAGAGCCCAGAAAAAATGCATGAGATCGTTCAAGGCTCTCAGAAAGGTCCAAATCCTGTTCTCCAGAGGCTCTGGGAATGTCTCTGCATGGCCCCCACCAAAAGAGGCCTTTCTGGGCTTTGCTATCAGCCTGTTGCTCCAGGAAAGATGTACCAGACCAGGGCTGGGGGGGAGATGCAGCCAGACATGGGATGCAAAATATCCTGCTCCCTTCTGGTCACTCCATTACCAGCACCAGTAGCTGACTGCATTGTTTCTACCCCAGGGATGCCCTGGCTGCATCTGGAGGAAGGAATGGGGGTAAGAGGCTTGGTGATACCTGTGCAGTGCGGAGGAGCTGGAGATGGTGATTCCCTAGGGGAACAGGCAACTTCTGCTGCTCCCAGGTGGGAATCAAGACCCTAATTTCTCTGAGTTAAAGGGAAAGCTGAGCCACCTGATCCCTGTTCCCTAAATCCAGCCTCCCACTCAGCCTAGCTCTAAGCATTCCCTCACTGTCTGCCTCTCCCCTGCACAGGGAATGAATGTGGGGAGACAGACCTGCTTTGGTAGCAGCAACACGTTTTTTCCACGTTTTTTGAGCCACCCCTTCCTCAGGGTGGGAGCGGGGGAGCCTCCAGGCTGAGCTCGTGTCCAACACTGCAGCGCCAGGGGAGGGCTGTGTGTGCTCCTTGGCTTTTTATGGTAAGGAATGTGTTTGCAACATGTTAATTAAGAGCGACCATGGCAGTCTAACCCTCTCACAGATGAGCCCTTCACGCCCCTCTAAGAGCTGAGAATGAAACCTGGAGTCATGCTGAGACCATGGCAAGGGGCCACAGATGGGGCTGAACCCCCTCTGCTTCCCCCCTTTTCTTCCCCCAAGGCTCCTGTGGGGTTTGACACCATTCCCTCACCTCCCGTTCTGCCCTGACACAGGGAACATGTGTCTGATTTCCAAGGTTTTGGGGCCAGAGCCTCATTTTGATGTTTTTTTATTTTTTAGTGGCCATGCTGGGGGTTATGTCAGGGTCTGGGGGTGCTACCTGCTGCCTGCTCAGACTGGAGAGCAAATTTGTCAGAGTAAGTATTTGAAAACAAACCCACAAATCAAACTAACTTCTCTAACCCTAGTGATAAATCTGTTTGGAAAGCTCACACTTACTGAGGTTTCAGGCAAGAGTCCCTCATCACCCTGCCCACTCTTGGGCTTGATGGGAGCTCAGTTTAGCCTATTCATTTTTCACTTCCAGTTAAATATGCTTTTATTAAATTTTAATTGGAACATAGGGACTTGCAGTGCTCTTAATTTAAGATAAAACCTCCCAAGGGAATGGACCAGGAGCCCATTTCTCTCAGCTGGGAGCATGTTGAGTGTCAACATATCCTGATGCTCTTGTCTTTTCCATCTGGGCCTGATATGCTCTGTTATTTGAGGGGGAAAGTAGCTTCCCAATACGGCAGCAAAATCTTGTGTTTGTCCTTGGAGGGCTCATCAAGGCACGGGCTGGGTGTGAGGGCAATGGTTTCCTCCTCAGATGAGCAGGGACAGTGTCAGATAAGCAGGAGGGGGCTTTTATCTCTAATTCTGTATTTGCTGTAAACGGTGCAATGATCTGGCCCAAGCTTCAGTCTTACAGCCTGCAGACAAGTGAGAGCCGCTGGGTGAGGATCCATAAAATGAGGGAGGCTGTTGGATGTGTCATAACACAGGGCCCTGACCTTGCTGTCTGACCATCACCAAGCCCCTCTCTGCTCCTGGAGAGGATGAAAGCAGCCATGGTGCATGTCAGAGGGGATTTTGGGGTGCTGGAGGCAGCAGTGAGGTGCAGCCCCCCAGGCTGGGAGCTGTGCAGAGCCTGCCCCCAGCCCACTGTCACCCTATGGGACCTCACTGCTGAACTGTGACCAGAAACAAGCAGGTGCCAGTGGTGCCCACGGCCACAGCGATGTTTTGGGCTGGCAGCTGAGTTAGGGGTGTCCTGGGATGTTTCTTCAAAGTGGTCATGGGGTGGCTGGGTAGCTCTAGAGCAGCTAGCAGGGTAGGGCAGGGTCAGCCATGGGCTTAGGACACTGTTGGAAGGGCTGGGGTGGGATGGATGGGGGCAGAATCAGTGTCTCTGACAGGGGAAATGTGGATATTGCATCCCCCTGCCATGCCAGCACAGGGACCTGTGTCCTTGGGCAGTGCAGAGGTGGTGGGCCAAAATCTCCATCCCCAAGCTGAGCTGATAACTGCCCAGGAGAGTGGATTGAACCCCTCAGTGTGTGTGGGCTCCACTGGAGTCAGATCCTGTGGCTCTCCAAGCAGAGGTAGATGTGGGCACGAGGACAGTAAGGCTTTTAGCTGTGTTTGTGCAGCTGCTTCAGTGTTTTCCCTGGATGTGAAGCGTTGAGCAGGGAGATAAATGCAGATGTAATTAATGGAGCTGCTTATACGCTGCTCTCTGTGACTTATGCTGGGAACAGGACTAGACTAAATATCACTGTTACTGATAGGAGGAGGTGGCCAATTTATGGGGAGAGGAAGATCCTGGTTATAGTAACACTCAGAAAAAGAAATGATTTACAGTCAAAGGCTTCTCAAGAAAAAAAGGCCAAGCACTGGGGCTGAGTGGAAGAGGGCTGTGTGAGGACCAGAGCCCCAGGGAGAGCCAGGGTCTGTGGACAGAAGTACCCATCGCAGTCCTGGGGAGCTCTGCTGTGGGGATTCACAACATTCTCTGCAGACAGAGCCTCTGTAATGGCAGTTTATAAAGACATGGCCTTTGTGGGGGCTGTTGGGGTACACAGCTGGGAGTTGCAGGGATGCACAGCACAGCTCATCCCAGCTCCCCTGCACTTTCACCACCACCTCTGCCTGTGCTCTGCCACGGGGTTTTCAAAAGGGTGGTTTGATCCTAGTCTGGTGATGCTCTTCTGGTAAAGAAAAGGAAGGTGTTCACTTAAAGCCCTTGGCTGATGGCAGTCACAGGGCTCAGGCACCCGTGGAGCCTTTGCAGGGTTAAGAGGTGGGAGTGTGAATCACAGCATCCTCTTGTGGGCAGCTGCACTCAGCAGTGGTGTTCCTGTGCTGCAGTGCTCCCCTCCAGGGATGTTATTGGGCATCACCCACATCCTCCATCCCCCCTCAGCTTCCCTGCATCCAGCAGGTCCCACCACCCCCCAGCCTCTCCTTTATTGCAGCTGTGGGGCTTCTCAAAGGAGCTGGACACGGCAGGTGGGATGGAGGAGCTTTATTGTGGCTTCCCCAGCTCGCTGGGCACCCCCAGCTCTCACCCAGCCCTGACTGTCCTGCCTCAGGGAAGCAGTGTCAGTGCCCTGCTTGTCTCCTCGCCTGCTTGAGATGCTGAGCTGTCCCCAAGCTGTCCAAAGGTATTAAAATCCTTCCCCTACCATGGGCCCATGGCTGTGCTTCCCTGGCAAACAACCTCCCTCCCCTTGGTCCTCAGTGACCTGTGCTTCACTCTGGATTTTCCTACCTGAGCTGGGTTTGTGCCCAGTGCTGCCCCAGAATGCAGCTCCTAAACTAGGACACAAACAATCCCAGACTTTCCAAATGTCCCTAAAAGTGCACCCACTAACTCCAGGTGCTGTGGTGGTCAGAGGGCCCAGAGCTTTTCACAGGGTCTGGGTGTAGATGCGATAGGAAGTTTGTCCATGACAGAGGAACAGGTGTTCACACATGGCAGTGGATTTTTGGGCTTGATCTCTGCTCTCAGCAAGTGCTTGGTGGAAGCAAATCCTGTCCTTGGTTGGTTATTGGCTGAGTTTGTATCAGCAGCATCATGGTTATGAAATCTGGATGTATTTGAATGAAAGGGGTTCAACTGGACCCATTTCAACCCAAAACATAGCCCAGCCCCAGGCTTGCAGTGCTGCAGGAGACTGCAAAGCTGTGGGGTGGGAGGAAGCTCTGCTAGCTGATGTTGAAGGTGATGGAGGAGCCATCTGCTCTCTGCTGCTGTCCCACCAGCTCTGCCTCCCCCCAGGGCTGCGCGGGGACCCTGCAGCGTGCGGCGGAGCGGCTGGGCAGGGCATCGCTCAGCTGGGTCACCTCACTGAGCTCTGCCTCCAGCGTGCTGACAGTGTTGGTGGCCTGGGCCACGTGCACCTTGTGCGCTGCCTTCTTGTGCAGGAGGCAGCTGAAGATCTTCTTGAAGCCCTTGCGGAAGTGTTTGGAGACCAGGGCGTAGACGATGGGGTTCACGCAGGAGTTGGCATAGGAGATGACGTGCGAGAGGATGCGGAGCACGTACGTGGAGTGGTTGAGGGGGAAGTACCCGAACCACACACAGAGGATGACCAGGTGATGGGGCAGCCAGCAGAGGCAGAACAGGATGGCGACAATGATGATCATCCTGGTGACCTTCCTCTTGGCCTTCTTGGACTCAGACATGTCTTGGAGAGGGTCCACAGACCGCCACAGGTAGCGAATAGTTCGCACGTAAGTGAGGCTCAGGATGAGCACGGGGATGATGTAGCTGAAGATGAAGGTGCAGATGTCCATGATCTTGCGCTGGGAGATCTCCCAGATGGGATGGCAGACGGTCAGGTTGGCTAGCTGGAACTCCTGGTAGTAGCTGAGGTAAGGGCCCGAGAAGATGAAGGAGAGCCCCCAAATGAGACAAATGGCCAGGAGGGCATTCCTGGGTGTCCTCAGCTCCCTGGAGTGCAGGGGGTATCGTATGGCCAAATACCTGCATGGGAAAGGGAGAGAGACATGGCTGCAGTCCTGGGGAGGGCACAGAGACAGCATTGCCAGGAGCAGATTGGAGAGAGGGCAGAAATGGATTTGAGCTTTCCAGGGCAGTTAGTAACACAACAGATTCCCTGGCGTTTCTTAGCACAAAGGATTAAGGAAGATTCTCTCCCTGCCCCTTCAGCCTCTGCTCTTAGCAGTGGTTGTGGGGACAATGGGGATGGTCCCATTCTGTCCCTCCCCTAATCCAGCAGACCCTCACTTGACCATCACTGTCTGGCATAGATTGGAGCAGTGAGGATACAAAAGCAGGAGCAAGTGCCCAGCATCCCCAGACACAGCATTCCTTGTACTGGCACACGTGAGAGCACATCACCCCTTTTCAGTTCTGTAATTAGCTGGTCCCTTAATTGCAGCCAGATCTGAGGCTTGTGCAGGCCCTCCCCTGCTCAACACATCTGTTCCCTCTGCTCTGTGGGATACAGGGGGAGGAGCAGCCCATCCTGGGGGTGCTGGGATAGCAGGACACATCCAGCCAGGCTCCAGGGCCACCCAGGGGACAAGAATATGGGCTTCCCACATCCCATCTCACAGGTTTTGGGCACTGAGTGAAGCAGCACCAGGAGCTCCCAGGGTCGTAACTCACCAGCCCTTGCAGAGGCAGGGACTGAGGTAAAGCACAGGCAGGAGCAACAGGCTTCCCAGCAAAACCCACCCTGGGATGGGCTGGGATAATCATTGGGACAAGGGACAGCACCAGGACAGAAAGGGTTTTTTCGCTAATAGAAGAGGAGGGTGAGAAAATCAGTGTCTCGGCTCAAATATCCCAGTGCTTTTTCTCCTCGAGGTCTGCCTGCTTCACTGGGGATGGTTGGGAGGGTAGGGGCTCTCTGTGCATCCCAGGAAGAGCCAGAGCTGCACAGGGACTGAGCTTTGCTTCTTTCTCACTTTTCATCCCAACTTCACTGCCAGGGCCTGTGGATAAATCCCAGTCCTACAGCTTTGGGTTCTGAAAGCTTCCTCCACCTGGGCACTGGGGCCAGGGATCCCCATCCAGCCCTCTGCAGGACCTCATACTGGGTGGTTGCACTTCCCTTGCACACATCAACTGGGAAATGCTCCTTGATTCCCCCAGAAATCACAGCAGCCAGAATTTAGCTCCAGGGGATTTTGTCCCCTCTCTGCCCCGGTGGGATCCAGAGGAAGGGGAGCCCCCCTCCCCCCAATTCCCTTTCCTACCTGTCAAGGGAGACGGTGGCCAGGGTGAAGCTGCTGGCGTACATGGTGAGGTAGATGAAGAAGTGGACAGCCTTGCACATGAAGGGCCCAAACACCCATCCCTCCAGGGTGTAGATGGTGGCTTGGAAGGGGACGCAGAAGA